TTAATTCTCTTTTGAATTCAGCCCAAATGTTAATGGTGCACATGTCACGCTCAGATTCCTGCACCACCATAGCATAGCAACATCAACTAAATACATAGATGTAGTTGTAGTGTGAATTCTGGTCCTTTCTTCATTAAGGTTTGTTGCTGAGAAGTATTGTTCCATATGCCACAAGAAGTTGTCAAGCTGATGTGCATCGTGAGTGCCTGAGTAGGTAGTTGGCTCCCAAATCTTAATGTGAGCAGGAGTGAATGCCGTTGTGGAAATTGTCGAATTGGCAATTGCTCTCTTTAAGAAGTTATACTCCTCCCTAATCTCATCTAGTTGAGCTTGCATGCTGGCTGAGGTGCACATGGCTGACTTCACAGCTGCCCATTCTTCTTTCATTGCATCAAGTTGGGCATGGATGGCTAAGGATGTGGACATGGTTCTCTTCCACCTTGCCCATTCATTTTTCATCTCCTCAAGCTGCGCTTGAAATTTGTCATGCGTGTCTTGAATATTTGTTTGAGAGGAGCTTGCTTATTGCTGATGTAAGGTGCTCAAGACCTCCTTGCGGGTTCCATTCATCCAGGGCACCATTTAAGCGCCCCTCTAACTCCACCATCGCGGACTCGACTGCTTCCATGGTGAGGTGAATCTCCTCCACTCGATCACGTGTCTCACCCATTGTTACTTCACAACGTAGCATGCGGGTGTTGATGTTAGCAAGCCTATTTGTGGATTTCTCGCGCTTGCTGGATTTTGATGCTCGGCCCTTTGGGGCCTTGTCTCTTGCCAGGGTTGTCTTCAAGTGCATCACTAGCCTCATGGGTGTGGGAGAGTCCTTGCTGTATCTCTTCCTCAAGGTCCTAGGTGTTCTTCATAGTGTTGCTACCGTCAAGGGTCGAATGCTTGGTCCACGGCGTGTAGGTGAGCTCTTGCTCTGATACCAACTGTTATGGGACTGATTGTTGAGGCCCCGTGTGGCACTCGAATGTGTCGAGAAAGCCTATGAAACAAAGCAACAAGCAACAAAGGCAACAATAATGGCACACAGATTAGTAAAATGGCTCTTTGTATTGCATTAAAGAGGGTAAGCACAAGCACACAAGTTTGTATCGAGGGGACCTCATGCTTAACCTTTACATAGTATTGGCACCACTCAACTACCTACCTCCCCTCAAAGAGTAAGTTAAGCTTTTGGGGGAGTGACAGAAGGAAACATCACTTAGTGGTGAAAAATCATATTGATAATTACAATAATGCCATTGGCATTCCCCCCATACAAAATACATACATTGCCCCACCCAAGACACATCCAAAGACACTCGGATGGCATGTTGCAGGCACGAAAGATGGCTTTTGATGGTGCGGTGAAGAGTTCACTTATGACAAACTGTTTTAGAACTAAGACAAACCTGTAGCCTGTAGGTAAGCTATAAGGACAATGAAATAAGGACTCTTAACTCCTAACAACAATAATGACACTTGCTAATCCTATTAAAGCTAACTTAATGTAAAGACACTAAATTACAAAGACCCCCCTGTACTATGGGGTCAGTGACAAATTCCTCCCTATAATTTGTGACAAAGACCCCCTGACTGTTAAGTCAGCTAATGGAAGGTGCAAAATTATGAAAATGCCATCACAATTCAAGGGACGTGAAATTAACTTTTCAAAATGATGAAAATGGGCAAAGCCATTCCCCCATTTGTCTTTTCCTCGTCCATTTTCTAATTTTCTCCTAAACCTTGACCTATACAAGTATACCATCGGCGAACCATTTGACAAGAACTCTACATCGCTCTTTGCTGGAAGTTGTTGCCACTATCTTATTGTCGAAGAGCTGTCTGGTACATTGTCACCATATACAGAAGAATCTTCAATGATACCAAAAAAATCATGCCAACTATTTTAACCATATGAGAACCGATATTTTCAAAAATTGTTGGGTTATCATCAAAGTGTAAATGAAATGGTAAAATCATTCGAACAAATAACAAAAGGGCAGTTTTGGGATTTAAAAAGCTTTGAACAGACAAATGAGAATCTTTTCTGAAGTTAATTGACAGAACACTAACATAGGGGGTCTTTGTTGCAATGTGAAAGTTTGGGTATCTTTGGCACAAATGGAAGTACAGGGCTGTGTTTGTCACTGACCCCATAGTACAAGAGGGTCTTTGTAATTTACTCTTATTAAAAATAGTAAATCCAATTTTACTATAAATAGCAACTATGAGAATTACTAAAAATGGTAAGTCTGAAAGTTACCATAAATAGTAATTTTGAAATAAAATTTTTAGGAAGCAGAACCCTATTCCTAATACAACTATAACTAGAAAAGAAATTCAAAATCACCAGATTGCAGAGTCCTGAGATGCATTCCTCTCAGATTGCTATGAGGTAAATGGTAGCTCTGTAATCTGATGCCCTACATTTAGAAGGAATTTTCAAGATTGGGAAATTGACAACTCCGAATTTCTGGAGCTGATTTCCATTCATACCCTGAATCTGCTTGTAGAGGATATCTGGGCTTGGAGTTGGAGTCCAGATGGCATGTTTTCTGTCAAATTTTTTGTTAGCCACCTGTCTAACCACATGCCAGAAGACTCGGGTCCCCTAGGAGTTGGGGATTCCATCCGGGCAGTGCTATTAGCTGCTATACAAGGGGTGCAACTTGCAAACTAGCTGGGGGTACAACATCTAGTAACTGAAGGAGATTCCAAAGTGGTGGTGGGCTGGTTGAAAAATCCTGAAGATGCTATATGGCGCTACAAGAATGAAATGAAGAAATTCAGTTGGTTGACAAGGAATATGATAGTCTCTTTACAGTGGGTGGGGAGATCAGCAAATACTTTGTCCGATGTCTTAGCTAAGCAAGGGGTAAATCGGGAAGAATTGTTTTGGGCTCAGCTGTGATTTCTGTTTTTCTTTCCTAGTTTTACTTGTAAGATTCAAAGAGGGGCTGCACCTCGTGCCTCTCCCTGGGATGTTGTATGAATTCACAATCTAAATCAGTTTTTGATCTAATAAATCTTACTATTATTCATCAAAAAAAAAAAAAAATGGAATCCAATAGCCCCTTCAAAGGTTTATGCTTTGGTTTGGGCTGCATCCCTAGACAGATGCTTAACTTAGACTCACCTGTCAAAAAGAGGAGTGCAGCTTCAAGATTTGTTATGTGTTCTATGTGGGCAAAAGTTGGAAGACAGTAGTCATCTGTTTCTCCATTGTTCTGTCTCGACAATGATCTGGAACCATTTCTTTTCAGCTCTGGGTATTAGCTGGGTTATGCCAAGCACTGTGAAGGATCTGCTGAGTTGCTGGGAATTGCAGGGGCTGTCAAAGCTTGCAAGAAACATATGGGGGACCATTCCGACTGCTGTAATCAGTACTATATTGAGGGAAACAAAAGATTTTTCCAAAGCAAATCCAACAACACAGAAGATCTAATTGCATTTACTTTTGGAAAGCTTCTGTCTCAGGTCTCGGCTGTAAAGGGGCACCAGGTCATTCAACTTGGGGCTAGGCTGTACTCTAGGAACTTCTGGAATTTGTAATGGATATGGATCTCTGGGGTCCCTGCCCAAAAGATGTTTTTTGGGGGACCCTCTTGAATCATTATTCCTGATTTATTAAAATTTTACCTTCCATCTAAAAAAAAAAATTCAAAATCTGATTTGTTTCTCCATAGATTCTTTTCTTGCTTATGTCTCTGCATCAAGTTCACTCCATCCACTGTATCTGGCGAAGAATCTGATGCCTTTATGAAGTCAAGTTGTTCTGTAGGGTTAGATCTTTAGAATTAATCAGCCTATTTCAGCTCCATCAAGTGCCAAGCCTTACAGCCCAACTACGCCTATGTTCTAGTTGTTGGATATTCTATCTTCCCTTCAAGTGAGCTTTAAACCCTCAAAGACATTCCTGAAGAAATCTAAATGATAGGAAGAGAGGACAAGAGCAGAAGGGACTTGGAAAAGGAACTTTGCATAAAGCAGAGACAATTGGAACTTGATCGATAGATTGCATTATTATTTTATTTTGTTTTTTCGGGGGGTGGGAGAAGGGTGGTCTACAATGTGAATCTACATTTACTGAAGTCATTTGTAAGAACTTAGGAGTTAGAAGTGGTTCCAGTAGGTGATAAAATGAGAGAAAGTAGACTCAGATGGTTTGGTCATGGGCATAAAAGATCATCAACTGAACCCAGAAGTGATTTATTACAATTTCAAGGGGCTAGTAAGAAATGATTTGAGGGTCAATAATTTAACAATGGATACAGCATTAATTTAACCATATAGCTGACCCCATATGGTTGGGATAAGGCTCGGAGGAGAATGATGATGATCCATCCAGAGGATACAATCTAATGGTTGTGAGAATTGTAAAAAGTTCTAGATATTTATCTTGCTGGATTCTCAAAAACTTGATAGGATATTTTATACAGAAGTGTTGTATGACTCAGACCATACTAAAAACTGGAATGACCCAGGGTCCCAGTTTTACTGGTTAATCAGTTCTGCTTGTAAAAAACCCATCAAAACCATCATTTAACTGGGACCTGGAAAGGCCACTGGTTCCCGGTTTTCACAATCTGACTGCCCAGTCCGGGCTGTCTTACAACACTGTTGTATACTCTAAAGCAACAAAGATTGCTCTAGGACATACATGTGTAACAATGTACAGGAAAGGGTATTAAACCTCTAAAAATGCGCTGCTTAGGTTTGTAGTCTGTGACACAAGGCTCTTGTATGTGTCATCCTTGAGTAAAATGTTATATTTACCACCCTCAGTAGCCATCAAAGAAGCCTTGTGTCATCCTTGAGTAAAATGTTATATTTCCTACACAGGTGCTGAATGAAATTACCACCCTCATGCAACCCATCTTACCTTTTCTTTTCCTTTTTTTGTAGAAGGCATGTAACCTGTCTTACCATGAAGCACATTTTCTTCTTTAGATTTGGAGAAACTTGGTTTGTTATTTTAAAACATTTTCTTCTTTTCTTTTGGTGCTCAGCGCTCTTATGTGGTATATCCCCCAGAAGGTCCTCGTCCACCATCACCAGAAGAACTTAGGGAAATGGCTAGAGAGATGGCTCGCAAGAACAATATACGCTAGTGGATTTATATGGGATTCTACGGTGTAAGTGATTCGTGCAGTTGAATAGTGGCCGTGTTTCTTGTTTTGTATCTAAGGACAGTCCCAAATACATTCTGGATTATAGTTCAAAAATAAATCACTTAAACTGCAGATTGTCTAGCCATAACTTGCATTTGAAAATGAACATTGGAAATACATGTACTTCATAAAATAATTTCATAGAAAATGTTAATAATGGAGATTTCCTCAGATTCATAACAAGGCCTTGAATAAAAGAGAATGTGCCTTCCATACTCTCTGAAAAGAAATAGGTTTGAGAGCTTTGTTCTCGCTTATGAAGATCAAGCTTTGATTCTTTGAAAGTCTTAATTCTCTCCCAAATTCGCAGTATTTCATGTATCGCCGACCGACCCTGAAAACTGATATATACGTGCTGATATTTTTGTCTGGTAAAAAACCTTGCTGGTTGTATTAGATACCAGGGATCAAATTTTGCCTTTTTATGGAGTTTAGGGGGCTTTAAAAATGGTAAATTGGCCTTCAATAAAAAAGAATACACATCAATCTTTAATAAATTTCTGCACCAATCTAAAAAAGCCTTCAATTATCAAAAATCTGGGCTTTCAAAAAATAATTATCAAAAATCTGAAAAATGTAGCAATTCTGTTATCATGCATCCTTTTGGTAGGTATTTGGTTGAGAGTTGAGATATGTCAATGAATTTAGAATCAAGTTTCTGCACTTAAAGTGAATAGTTTTATCACTATTTTTGCATAGATTCTAAAAATAAGGAGATGGGATTTGATGCCAGATTGCCAGCAAAAGGCTGCACACATACAGAAGATGTTCCATATGTGCCGTTGGATGTTGTGCTTGCTTTTTGTTGACAAAGATCCAAGCTCAAAATTAATTACTCACTTCAAGTGGTGTAGGGCCTATATTACTGATTATCAACCTTTCTCTAGAAAGGGGGTTAAGCCCATCCCTCAAACTCATAACCCCCCAATGTTCCATATGTGCCGTTGGATGTTGTGCTTGCTTTTTGTTGACAAAGATCCAAGCTCAAAAATAATTACTCACTTCAAGTGGTGTAGGGCCTATATTACTGATTATCAACCTTTCTTTAGAAAGGGGGTTAAGCCCATCCCTCAAACTCATAACCCCCTAACCCTGGTGGCAATGGGATTTTAATCTTAGGTGTGGGCTACAATTAGCCAGAGATCCTACCAACTGAGTCACTATCAGTATGCATCAACGCTTTTATTTTAATTTCCTAATTTAAATACAAACTCACTATTGCGGTTGAAACCCGAGAAACAAATAAAAGGGAGGGAGGAGTTCGGGAATTGGACAATCTAAGGAGGTTGTACAAACCAAGCTGCTCTTGAAGGCATCAACAAGAAAGAGAATCCCAAGGTGTGTCCCTAGGGAAAAGCTCTCTGATGCTTAAGCTAGTAAGTAAGAAAAGGGTCGTTCGACCTAGCAAAGGAGGCTAGGTTGGCGAAGGAACGTAAAGAACAAGGTGATAGTTGAGAGAGTGCTATGATGTTCACATATTTTCTTAGGGGGTGTCTCACCTATTTAAAGAAGTGGTATTGTGCTCCTCGTGTCCCAGTGGACCCAGTCTTGTTGGGAGATCGTTGCCATGCCTGGTCTGAGCTTCTCACAAATTCTCCTTATTGAGGTCTAGGCATGCTAGGTGCATTTAGGTGAGACCAACTGGTTGGACTGGCACCCGGCCAATTTAGGTCATTGGCAAGTACTTTGAGCGTTCCACTTAGGGATACATGGTGGTTCATTATTGAGCCATGCAAATGGGCCGCATCTCTTGCCCCCACTTTTAAGACCAAGGTGGTCGTCTTCCTATTCATACAATGAAAAGTTGGTTCAGTCGAAAAAAGTAGTCAAATAGCTTGTTAGAGTGGGATCAAGTCCAAGCCATGTTGTACCTTACTTGAGGAGGTGCAATCGACTAAAAAGGTTCAAAGTATCAATACAATAAGCCCCATATTGGACATATCTTGTTGTATTTCTAGGGGTTCGATATACACAGAGGTATATTGATACTTTAACCATTGGGCCTTTTACTAAGGGTGCACGGGCCATATGCACTTCCAGGGGGTCACATCACTTCTACTCATGCAATTGGCATATGCACTCTCATTAATGCATCATTTTGTTTGGCGTATGACAGAGTGACACCTCAATTGTAGGATGCATGGCAACTGTTAGTAGGGATGCAAACGGATCGGATTGGATTCGAAATCCGATCTGATACTGTTTATGACAGATCCGGTCCAATCCAAAAATCTGACCGGATCTAATAGGACTTGATCTGAATTCGAATCCTATTGGACCTGATATGATTCAACTTATTTTCTTTAAAAATTAATAAACTATTAAAAGAAAAAATATTCATTCCATTCGGACCACTCTTTCCTCGCGGGAACTAAAAGACCCGAAAGCCGCTTTTGTTAAAATAACTATTTTTATTGATATTAGAGCCAAAAATTGCCCTAATCGGCAATAACCCCAACTTTTAAAGCATTTTTAATTCAGCGTTTTCTTTGAAATTGACAGCCAGAACCTCAGATGTTTCGCCCCACACTGGTTGGAATTTCTCGGAAAAAAAGATCTATTTGAAAGATAGCCAAGAAAATAAAGAATTAGTTAAGCATCTCTTATCACTAACTTCGTCATCAATTAAGTTTAATTTCTTTTTCATTCCATTCGGACCACTCTTTCCTCGCGGGAACTAAAAGACCCGAATGCCGCTTTTGTTTAGAAATCCTCGTAAATATTGACTTCCCAAAAGTCTTTCTTCTGTTAAAGATGGTTGCTTCGCACGGATCTCGGGTTGTGAGAGTTAGAACCAAGAAAAAGGAAGTGAAAAGGAGCTCTGGAGGCGCGAGCACTGAGCACTTTCGTTATTCTCCTTTTGCTGGAGTCGTTATAGTTTTTTACACGTCACGGGGAAGTAGTTCTTCTGGGTTCCCTCAAACCCCCTTCGAAGGTTTTCTTTCTCCCGTGACTTGTAAGTATTTCTTTCTCTTTCTGGGTCTTTGATGTTTTTCTTTGATTTGTTTTTCGTTTCCTTCGCGGTTATGAATTGAAGTTGCTGAATTTGCTGTGCTGTTGATGGGTTTCATTTCCCACTCTGTAATGGATTGTCTGAAATCTGAATGCCTTGCAACTTTGTAAGTTATTGCGGTATGGTTAATGGTGTTTGGAGTAATATGTATTTTGCTTCCTTGCCTTTTCCATTACTTCAAAATGGTCTTGCTCAGTTTGATTTGTCCTGTTCCCGTGATGCCAAAAACGTGTTTTGGGTGATGGGTAATTCCCTTTATCTCTCTTTTTTTACTTTTATGGCTTTGTTCTTTCCTCTGCGGCCAGCCATTAGAAATGTGATTTCCTTGAACTTGTTCATCTAAATTATGTGGTTGAGACAAATTTGTTATTCTCTCTTGCATATGATTCTTTATTGGGCTTAAAAGAGGGAAAGGAGAATGCTAGTTACATCTCAGTTGGCTCACGGCTTTAAGTTGTTTTTGCCACTTTGGAAGATTTGTATCTGAAAATCGGAAATTGCTCTTCTTTGTTGTTTCGGATTACGCACTGACATGGAGTAAATTGAGAAGATAATACAATAGAAAGGCAGTTCTGGTTGGAACATTCTCTAGTTCGTCAAGGTGCCAACCAGCTGGTTTCCTGCTGGTCGTAGCGGAGACTTGGGATCGAATCCCGCCTGCACCTGGGTTGGGGGATGGGCTACCCCCATTGTGCAGCCCTTCAAAAGAAATTAAAAAAAAGGCTTATGTTTTGTTTTCTTAGTGCGTTTTTTTCCCTTTAAGAGAAAATGCTTAAAATGGGGAACCTTACTTTTTTTTTTTTTTCCAGAATCATATGATGGATCTTGTTACACTTTACATGCATAACAAATATGTTCAGCTGAAGAAAGGAACCGAAGGCCATTCAAGGTAGAAACATGTGCATTAGGGATCCACTTTAGGTTATGTGCTCATTGGCCTATAAAATACCAGTAGAGGATTTGGAATACAGTCATTAGAAATCATAATGGCATTGGAGCTCATACCTATAGGGACCCTCTTGGCTCTTGTAACAAACCAGGTCATAAAGACAGCTCAAGCTGCAAAGGATGTTATTATAGAGAAGGGCAGTTTCAAGGCTCTGTCTAAATATCTTTTTGATATTGAACCTGTCTTAAAGGAATTGCAGAACCGGGAGTTGAACGATTCTCAAGCTGCAAGGCATGCTCTGGAATTCCTTGAGCAAGATGTTAAGAAGGCAAATAACCTGGTGGAGAAGTACAAAAACCGAACCCGCTTTTACCTATTGGTAAATTGTAGGAAAATAGTTAAGGAGGTACAGGATGTCACAAGGGAAATTGGAAAGTCTCTAAATGCTTTGTCCCTTGCAAACACTGAAGTCCTTGCTGACATATCTGAAAAGTTGAACATATTACAAAATGAGATGCAAAGGGCAGAATTCGAGGCTTCTCAAGGTCAGCTTCAAATTGTTGAGAAGTTGGACAAGGGTCTACAAGATGAGAAGATTGACCAGGGCTTTGCAAATGACATACTTGAGGAGATAGCAAGGGCAGTAGGCGTACCCATAGAACCATCAGAAATAAGCAAGGAGCTTGCAAGCTTCAGACGAGAAAAAGAAGAAGCTGCAAACCATAAAGAAAGGGCTGAAGCATTCTTCCTGGGACAAGTTATTGAGCTGCTCTCTCAAGCTGATGCTGCAAAGGATCATGAAGAAATCAAGAGGCAGTATTTCCAGAGGATTCAGACTATACAAAGGTATGAACAATGGCAAGAATACATCCCACCATTGAAATCATTCTATTGCCCCATAAATTGCAAAACTGTGATGGTTGATCCAGTCAGCCTTTGCACGGGTACCACATGTGAGAGAGCAGCTATTGAGAACTGGTTTGGAAGTGGTGAGAGAACTGATCCTGCAACAGGTGAATTTCTTGATGATCTTTCTTTGAGGCCCAATCTTCGATTGAGACAGTCAATAGAAGAGTGGCGAGAACTCAATTATTGCCTTAAGATCCGATCTGCCAGGACAAAGCTGCACTTAGGTATGGATTCTTCCGTGCAAGAGGCACTCAACCAAATGCAAGACCTCATCAAAGAGAAATCAATCAACAAAGACTGGATTGCTATTGAAGGACTTATCGAGGAAACCATGTCAATTATTGGAAGTTCACACAACAGAGATGTGAAGAGAAGAATTTTGATTACATTGAAGGCTCTAGTAGAAGGGCATGCCACAAACAAGGTCAGCACTTTTATGTTCTAAATCTTTCTATGTATGAGATGAGAGGAAATTATAGTTTCCTATTCTTCTTTGCATGTGCCTCTTTTTTTTATATTGCAATAGCTGAATTTTTCTCTTCAGCTTGCATAATTGAATGAGTCAAGGGTTGTTAAGCAATATACACGCAAATTTGAGGTTTCAAGACCATGTATGGTTATTATAGCTTGAATTTTTCATGAACTATAATTTATAAATGGTGTGTTTTGAAATGGAGGACTGCATTGTGAACTGCGGTTTTGCAAGTACTTGTCACCAATTTTCGGATTTGCTAATATGATATATATTTTTTTGGTGTTCCAGCTCTGGGCATTTCCTTACCTTTTTTTTTTCTAAATGAGTGTGTTCTGAATATACCATTCTTATGTTGCATGAGCCCTTATATTCCAGATAGCTTGGGCCAACATTGGGTAATGACCTTTTTTATATTGTGTGAGCCTTGCTCTTTTTGATATCATTTTTTTTCTGTTTAGTCTTTTTTTTTTTGGCTGTTCAGGTGATAATGGGATGTTTATATTGTTTAATTTATTTCTAGCAAAAATATTTGGAAAATTCAATTGATTCAATCAAGACATTGGATCATCTTGGACTTGTCATCTAAGTAATAAAAAGGCCAAAAAAAAAAAAAAAGAAGGAAATAAAACTTGAATCACCTTACCATGTATCTGCACTTCTAGTATCTTCTGTTAAGTTTCATTACTTTATGAATTTCAATATTTCAAATCAAAATTTCAGGTTAGAGTGATTGAGTCCCAGGGATTGGAGCTCATTGTTCCATGCTTAGGGCGTGACCCAAATACATCAAAGGCTGCAGTAGAACTGCTTTTTGAGTTGTTGCAAGACAGATCTGGCTGGAATACTTCTGTTTCCAGGAAACTCTCTCAACAAAGCAGTGCAATTCTTTTCCTTGTTACACTTATGAAAGGTTCAGTAGAAGAGTCGGCAGACAAAGCAGAAAAAATCTTGTTGAAGCTGTGTGATGATGATGAAGATAACATTATTCGTGCTGCTAAGGCTGACTGGTTTAAGCCGCTTGTTAATTTCCTAATTCAAGGTTAGAGTATTTTCATTTAAATTTATGAAGCTCGTATCTCTTAACACTGTTTATATTATTGTTATATTTTGGTTTCAAAGATGCAAGCTTGTTAAAGTGGGTAAATATATCTCTTTCGATATGGCGTTCCTAGTTTTCATTACTAACTCCTTGCCTACTTCCACATGGGCTGTCAAAACACATATATAAAATAAAAATGTAGGTTTTCAAGACTGCTATTTAGTCTTGACCACTAAGAGATTTCAGGTTCGATGAGAAGAGAAAGTGAAGAAGAAGTAGAAGA